CGGCTGACGGAGCTCAAGGAGCTCACCTTTGACGTTTCTTGGAACCAGATCGGCCCGGGGACCCGAAGAAGTCGAAGCCAGTTGCATGGGACGGCGTATATTGTTCATTGTGCCCTCAGCCTTAGCGACCCGGGGGCGGAGCGTGGCAGCTTGGGGCCTCATCTCTCTGTCGCCCGAGGTGTTGCAGGCGCCGCAGCTGTGGCTGAGAGCCTGCGGAATCTGCGGCAGCTCACGGGGCTCACGGTTTGGCTGACGGACAACGCGCTCGGCCCGGGCCTCGAGGTCTGTTAAGCGGCCTTAGGCCTTGCCCCACGAACCACGTTCAGGCGATCCAAGCCTTGGACCCCTGTTCTCAGTGAAGCCCATCCCCACGCCGAAGTTTGAAGAGTTTCTGCCGATATCCACTCAAGCTCCCTCTACTCCCTCTACTGCAGATTCTACCGGAAGTGGCGGGCTCTGCCTGCCTCCGGCCGAGGCGCTGCCGGCGCCACCGCAGTGGTGGAGAGCCTGCGAGAGCTGCCGCAGCTCACGGAGGTCGAGGTTCATCTGCAAGGCAACAAACTCGGCCCGGGCCTCGGGGGCTTTGTCAAAGCATCTTGGATCTTGCCACACAATTCCACGCCCCAGGCGAGGAGGAGAAGGAAAAGCTCCGGGCCACCTTCGATGCGCTGGCGGTGCAGAAAAAACGCATCGAGCTTTGATCCGAGGCCCGGCCGGGGCCCGGCCCGGAGTGTGGTCGTGGCTTCTGTGGGAGACTTCGGGGCTGGGACTCTTTCGGCTGCGAGGCCTCAGCCTGGCGCGCTGGTGGTGGCATTTCTTCCGAGCGCTTCGGATCTTCCCCACGCCGAAGTTGAAAGAGACGGGTTTCTGCCGATGTCCTCTCCCACCTCCTCTGCAGATTCTACCGGAAGTGACGGGCTCTGCCCGCCTCCCGCCCGAGGCGCTGCCGGCTTCGCCGCAGTGGTGGAGAGCTTTCGAGAGCTGCCGCAGCTCACCAAGCTCGAGGTTTATCTGGGAGGCAACGCGCTCGGCCCGGGGCCTCGGGTGCTTTGTCAAAGCATCTTGGACCTTGCCACACAAACCACGCCCGAGGCAAAGAGGAGAAGGAAAAGCTCCGGGCCACCTTCGCTGCGCTGCCGGTGCGTAAGAAACGCATCTATCTTGAATCCGAGGCCCGGCCGGGGCCCGGCCCGGAGTGTGGTCGTGGCTTCTGTGGGAGACTTCGGGGCTTGGACTGTTTCGGCTGCGAGGCCTCAGCCTCCGCGCGCTGGTGGTGGCCTTTCTGTTGTTGTTGCTAGCGAAGACGACAGCAGCCTGGGCAAGAAGGTGGCTAGCGTCCCCATCAAAGCGCTTCTGATGTTTCGCCGAAAAAGCAGAGGTCGCGCTGTGGTGGAGCCCGAGCATTCAAACTTGTTGCCGTAGCATTGCAGTCTTGCTTTTCTGTTGGTCTTGCATCTTTGCTGGTTTGGGACTTTTGAGGATTGGGGTCAAGATCCGTCGCTAACACACGGGTCAAGTCGCGGAATTCGGGTTGGAGGCACTCGGTGTACTGCACCGACCCCAGTGTGTAGCGTCCGAAGCTGAAGAGGGGCTCTGCCGGAGGATGCTGCATCCTTGCATTTGTGATGGTCTCTTGCGGCTCAAGTGCTGTCAGAAGGCATTCAAAACAGCCCTGCAAAGCTCAGAAACTCGATCATCTGCTGGATGTCTGCGCCCTGACCTTGAACCCTCCAGCACCGAGTAGGTCATTGACATGCGACTCCCCAAACTTCGTGCTGCTCGAACTCCGATGCCATGTCCAAGCGAATTGAACCAAGGAGCTGGTGCAGAAATCTGGAAGTCAAATCGTGACATGCTGAAATAACTTGAAATAACACTCTTCAACACAAAGCTATCATCGAGGCGCCCCCGACATTGTAGTTGTCTTCCCAGCGCACGGGCGGCGGAGCCAGCAGTGAGAGCAAGTATGCTGGGAACCGTGGCGACAAGGTGTTCGGATTCATGAGCATTAGGCGCTTGAGCCGACCCCTAAACCTCTCCAACCCCTAACCCCTATAAACCCTAAACCTCTAACCCCTAAAGGCCCTGTAAACCCCAAAGTGTCTTTTTGACAGACTTTTGCAGTCCTCTGGCAGAAACACAAGTCCTGCAGAAGCTTGGGGCTCTGATGTTTCAGGCTTGAGATGGGCAGTGCGGTCGACGTTGGTCGTTCTTTGACTCATGGCTGGGAGGCCTCGGCCCCCCCGCGCGGCCGGTGGCCTCCTGAGCGCTTCTTGGGAAGTTTGCCGCCGGAAAAAAGCAGAGGTCGCTGGTCGTTGCGCCTGCACCAGTGCTGCAGTCCGAACATTGCAACTTGATGAGCTTTCTTGGAGTGCCGGGCAAGGTGTAGCGTCCGAGGCAGAAGAGGGGCTCCGCGGGAGGTGCATCCATGCATTCTGATGCTCTCGTGCGGCTCGAATGCTATAAAGCATGTACAACAGCCCAAGAAAGGCTCAGAGATCATCCAACAGCCTTTGTGCCCTGAACCCACAAGTGAGCAAGCCCCATGCAGCGACAGGCGCGAACCCCAAGACTTCACCATGGCCACCCGCACTCCAAGACTTCGGTCTCTGGTGCCCATGTCTAAGTCTAAGCGAATTGAACCAGGGACCCAAGGACCCTTGGCAGCCTCTCTGTGGTACTACATAGACAGAGTTTGGAGGTGCAGTACCTCGTGACATGCTCCAACAATCCTCAATGGACAGCCTTTCTTAAATACCCTCAACATTGCATGGCAGCTCCCAGCGTATGGGCTGTGGAGCCAGCAGTGAGAGCGAGTATGCCGGGCGCTGGGGCGACAAAACTTTTTGGATCTATGAGAGTTGGATGCTTTATTGCCTTTCTGATCTGGTAGTCTGCAGTCCGCTGGCAGGATCTCAAGTTTTCAGTCTTTCAGTTGTGGGGAGATGCCGAGAGCAGGTTTTGCCAACAGCATTTCTGCAGCAGTCCGTGGAAGGTGTGGAANNGAACCCACAAGAGTCTTTGACTCTTGACAGCCCAACAAGCCCTAAACACCCCGAACGGCTTGGAACCCTCGAAGTTAATCAGTATACCCGAGGCGGGGCCCGCGGCTCGTGGCGGACCCTGTTTGACCGGCTGTGACAAGAGCCGACACCTTGCAAGGGATGAAATAAAAAGCTTCCTTGGAAGGCTGGAGGGGGCAACCAGAGGGCCAAGGGCTTGGGCTTCACGGAGGTTATTCGATAAGCCGTGATCTTCTTGTTGCGATCCATTTGGCGCTGCTGTTCCTGTTCAGGTCCTCGGAATTTTTTTCTGTCATTGAGGTTTCGTCGGCTCAGAATCCGAAGCCGCAGCAGCAGGGCAAAGGTCCAAGAGCTGTTGAGGTTCTAGCCTTTCGTTCCCGCAGCGTCTGGGGCCTTCGTGGTGGTGGGCCATGGACCTTCCGGGCTTCAGAAGCCCCAGGGCCCAGAGCACGAAAGTCGTCAAAAAGCAGGTGTGTCTCGAGACTTCGAGGCTCGAATCCTCCACGACCTTGCGGAGAGCCTCAAGAAGCCTGAACTTGTTTATCAGATTGCTGTACCGTATAGTAAACATGGAAAGTGCCACCATCCGGTTGTGAGATTCTCGGGACCTCAACTTGTGTTGTACGCGGTTGAGGCCTGACAGATCTCGACCAGCCTTTGCTACCCACCAACATCCTTGTCTCAGTGTTCTCTCATCTGGGTGTGGATCTGCTGCAGAGAGGCTTTTCCTCAGTTTTGCAGATGCACTACATGAGAGCGAAGCGACTCGGTTTCTCGTAGTGCTTTTGGCTTATGGAAAGAGGCCCCTTAGCGGTAGGCGTAGGAGCCGGCGCGGGAGGGCTGTCAAGCGCACTTCTGGCTGCGGTTCTGGGTCACTTCCGTGACGCTCCTGTGGCTGAGCCCTTTGGCTGCCCGGCTCCTTCGTTCGTCGAACCTGTGCCTCGGCTCGACTTTTACTTTGGCCTGGCTTTGGGTACTCTTTTGGGTATTGCAGCTGGGCCCTGCTGGATCTTATTTATTTGGCCCGGCAGCACCTCACGGTTTCTTTGCGGAACCGCTTGGCTAGCCTTACACTTTCGAGGACCCGCTGCGCATGAGCCAACCTGGCCCGTCCCGACTGGAATTGTTAGTGCAAGCCCTAGCTGCTAGGCTGGAGCTGGTTGAGCAGGACAACCGGGACCTTCGCGCCCGAGTGGCGCGCCTTGAGGCCGAGGGTTACGTTTTGGTACAAGGCGAGCAGGAGCAGCCGGCTCGTTCGCATCCGCCCGCGGGGGGCGGTTCATCTGGCCCGACTTCTACCTCTTCTCCCCGGCCTTCACCTTCGGCGGCTTTGGGAACTATTTCTTCTCCCCCGACGTGCTCTTCGGCTGCACCCTCGGAGGGCTTTCGCCAGCAGGTGGCCGACGAGATCGGGGCTTATATCAAACGCTGCCTGGCAGGGAACAACCGTGGCAGCAGTGGACGTGAAAAGGTCAATTTAGCCAACCGGGTCTACGTGGTGGTGCGGGACTCGCACGACAAGGTGTACGACCCCGTTCGTGTTTTCCACTCCTGGCGGGACACCCAGCCTTTGGTGACTGTGGGGCCCGGACCGGGCCGGCAATTCGGGGACAGCGTCTTCGTGGGCTTCGCCTCGCAGTGGGAGGCCAAGAGGGCAGTGGCAACAGCTGGCCTGAGCTGGCCAGCCAATGGCTGCTGAGGCTGGAGAAGAGGAGGGCGTGCCTGGCTTGGACCTGCGCCAGCACGCCTTGGCAACTTTGACAGGTCCGGATTTGAACTACGGCCTCCTCGCTGTCCGCAGCACCGTGACGGAAGGCGCCTCGTGGGTGGCTTTGCTGGTGGTGGGCGAGGGCGAGTCGGGAGAGATTATCGTGGCTTTGCCTGGGAAGGCTTGGCATAGAACCCAGAGCCGGCGGTTGGTTCCTACGAGTTCCTTGAGTAGTAGTAGTAGTAGTAGTAGTAGTAGGAGTAGTAGCAGAAGTAGTAGTAGTAGTAGTAGTAGTAGTAGCAGCAGCAGTGGTGGTGGGTGGTGGGTGG